TTATTTAAGTCTGGTAGTTTTACTGACTTATGCCTCCTCTTCCACCTAGATTTTCAGTTTCTTGGGCCAAATGACCTTTTCGTCTCTACATCACATTCATAGGAATGTTCAGAAGCTGAAGATTACTACTTGAAAGATTTAAATTGAAGGTAAGTACTCCTTAGTAGAAGTACCAATGATCACAAAGGGACAGTGAAACAATGTGCAAATTTATTGCCATGAAATAAGTACTTGTGCTAAGATGGATACCTACTCTAATGATTTGTGAAGCTATTTTCATGGCTTGGTTAATTTTTACTGTATATTCAATAATTCCAGTTATATATTTTCAATATACAAATATTCAGAAAAAATATACATTGTTTCTCTTTCCAATGGCTTAAGTATTGAGTATAAATACGTAAAAAAAAAAAAAAAAATCACTCATCTTTCTCAGAGGCTATTATATGACTTAAATGGGCTTATATATAAACATCACTAATTGAGATTTTTATCTATTTTCCTCAATAAACATTTATTGAATAAATTTAACTAAGTACTACACTAGGCACTGAAATAGAAAGACTACCTTATGAAGGACTTCACAAGCTAATCGTGAAATAGGCCCTCTTGTGATAACTGTTAGAATTGAGATTTAAATAAAGTGCTGTGAAATCACCACAAAATTAAATGAAGTAATTCAAACTGAAAGAGCAGTTCAGGAGACATTAAAAGTGAAAAGGCCATTTGAGTTGGTTACTAAAGGAAGAATAACAAAAGAATGATTTTTTTCCAGTGGTTGTGCAGTTTATGATGGGGCAAATGGGGTGAAACACAGTCACACACAGTCAAGCATCAGCTTCTTGCTCCCTGATTTGTCTCCCTGGAGGGAATGTGTCTCCCTGGGTTGTGTTTCCCTGGGATGTGTCTCTTTGGAGGAAAGAGACTTTTCCTTTATATACAAGCACTATCCCCTCACCAATTTGAACACTCAAAGCATTTTAATTTGCACAATAACATACAGGTTTGTGTTGCACAATGATATGTGGACGACAGTAACATTGTGGGCTTGTAATGCCCTTGTGGAGTGCATATTTGAGGAAAAAGGGGATAGCATCAGTAAAGTCATATGGATAAGAAAGTACAAAGTTGGGTAAGGAATAGAGAATAATTTATTCTGTTTAGGAGCAAAGATTGCTATTAAAGGAAGAGACTACAGCAGAACATTTAGTGTGAGATGAGTCTAGACTGGAACAGGGCACAATGTCTGAAATGCCACTCAGAAGAGATTAGTATTTATTCTGTGGGCAATTGCAAGTTATAAACATATTTAAATAAGAAATGATATAATCATAACTTTATTTTAAAGATAGTTGAGGTTTGTAGGCTAGAAAACAGACATGGGTTGAAGAAAGGATGGAGACTGGAGATGAAGATTTCTATCGGAAGAATAATGTGAATTCTTAGAGAGATTATGAGATTCCGGATTAGAATAGAAGAGGTGAAATGGAGAAGAAAGGATCTCTTTAAGGCTCCTTTTAGAAGTAAAAGATGAAGATTTCTATCGGAAGAATAATGAGAATTCTTAGAGAGATTATGAGATTCCGAATTAGAATAGAAGAGGTGAAATGGAGAAGAAAGGATCTCTTTAAGGCTCCTTTTAGAAGTAAAATAAATAGGAACACAGATGTTGGCAATGAGGGAGACTGAGTTGCAAAGGATTCAGATTTCTAGGACTGGTCAAGAGGCTGATGAAGATGCCATTTAAGATAATAAGAACTACTATTAATTAAAAGGCAGGTTTCATTGGATGAGATTGGTAGGAGATGGAGATAGAGTTATTTTATTGTCTAATCATTGGTTATATATTAGTACATAACTTGTCCTTTTTTTGTTTCCATTTTACAAAGTAGAATGTATCATGTTATAAACAAAATACTATTTATTTGATCTCAACATTTAGTTTGCAATATTCACATGCAATTGGCTTAAAAACTTCATGATACCTAAACTCTACCTACCTAAATTCCTTCATTTGTTTAAGTAAATTCTTTTGATATTTTTCTGCTTTTAGTTTTTTCTGAACGATGAGACTTTTCTCTTTTAGGACAGCCTCATTCTGCTTCAATCGGTCGACTTTAATCATTCCTTTGATCAAAAGAGTGCGCTCATTATTTAAGTTTTGAACTAATAAACGATCTGCAGCCTTTTGGGTTTTCTCTTCCAGAAACAGAGCTCTTCTCTTTCTTACTTTTTCAAAATAGTCAAATCTGTTCTGCCGAAGTTGTCGTAAACCACCCTGAAGTGTCTCATTATCTTTTTCAATTAACTTTTGTGCAACATATTTTTTCTCATTTAAATATTCATTAACAGTTATGCTAACTCTTTCTTGGGCAACTTGTGCCATGGCTACAGCTGTTTTCTTTTCTTTATGGCATTCCTGCTTCTTTTGTTCTGTGTAAAATTTATCAATTTCACTAAGGGTTCGGAGTTTCATACCAGCTCTG